GCAGGAAATTATTTTAATTTCCTATCACTGTAAAATATGTTTTTACACAAGGTTGCAGGGGAATAATGTTCTTTAAACAAGAGGCACTTTGTAATAATGTACCTTTGTGTTGGTGCTGCTCTGTAATTAAAAGTGGTTTGGAAGAAGCCACTGCTGTTTTCAGTGCTTTGGCAAGGAGCGTGTGAGAGACAAGATAACTATTATAAGAACTGTGATAACTCTTCTGTGAGGGTTTTTGATAAGACTGAACTCTGCCTCGCTGCTGCTGCGTGAGCTCAGCTGTGCTGCGTGCCGTCCCAGGTAGAAGTGCTGAACATCGCTCTTTTTTTTTTCTTTTAGGGAAGAAACTTGGTTATACATTTAACAACAGAAATTTCCACAACGTTTCCCTTGGACAAGGTCAAGAGGTAGTTGCTGAACAAGCTCTAGATCTGGCTGCGAGGGAGGGTCACTGGGTCATCCTTCAGGTACAGTGTCTTTGGAAACAGTCCTGCCGTTCTCCGAGGTTACCTGATGCTGATCGCATTAGTGAGGGCAGTCTGTCCTTCTTATCTGGTGGGAGGTGGGACAAGGTGTCATCTGTGTGTCCCAAGCAGCCACCTTCTGTTTCTTGCTGCTATCTATTGCTTTCATCGGGCGTTGTCATTTTGATTTTCTTGCTCTTTGAGCCTTCTGTAGGGTGTGTAGTTGTAGGGAGTCCTCTGAGGGAAGGCTGTGCCACACTTTCCTGTGCTTCTGTTTGCTTCATGAATAAATAAAGAGCTTTGTTCTCAAGAGCTGTTAGACTAGTTCTCTTCCATCGCTCAAAACTTACCGTGTATTTAAATGAGCAGTAAGAACATGCACACCAACGTCGGAAAGGCAGAGGCTATCTGCAGTGGTGCTGATTCCTTTATGCATCCCAAAACAGGTAAATGTTTGAAGCTTTTACCACAACTCAGAAAAATGTTTCAGAGCCTTTTAGGGTGTGAAGGGAGCTCTGTCTTTGTCAATGCTCTCTGGAGCCACTTCTTCAGTGAGTGCTTGGGTTGGCTAATATGCAGAGTCAGTGATGCCAAGCTCTCATTACAGGTCTTGGGAACGCCTCTGGTTTCCTTGATGTGGATTTTATAAATGTTTATTATCGCTGAATTGTTTGGATAAAATTAGATTAAGACAAGGTGTTGAGTCTGATCTGAGCCTACAGTCATGATTTTGGATTTAAGTTGAATGCCATTGATATTTTGATCTTAATTTTTGCTTTTTTTGAAAGCTCCCTCTAAGGTAGACAACGCTGAGCTTTTCGAGAGCTTTTAATGCAGATGGCTGCAATACTGACATTTGCCTTTGAGATGGTGTAGACAAAAATATGCAGCTTTTTGAGACCTGTTCCACTCAGTAATGCAAAGTGAAAGGTTCTTTGCTACAATGGTGGTTAGAGCCTGTAAAGGATCTGTTAGCAATGTCAGCTTCCATGTCTGTTGCTTCAGTGCTAGCAGATGGGTACTGTCGGCCGAAAGTATTTTTGTTTCATCCATTCACATCTTCTCTGGTGGTCAGAGCAATCAGTAAGAGGTCTCAGCAGACGCTGAAGGTTCAATAAGAAGAACTGCAAAAATTAGTTTTATATGAAAGAATGATTTTGATGCCTGGGCTAACTGGTTTTCCAGCAACACCTGCCAAGTGTGACTACCTCTGGTGGCACAGAGCAGACAGGTTCCCTGTGAGCTAAGAGAGGAGCTTAATTCAGCTGGCCACTAGCAGGTTTTGATGCAAACTGCATGGGGCAAACTCAGTGGTCCCAGCAGTGGCCATTAGGACAGGCTGCCTGGTGCCACTGCTCTCCTCAGGGTCAGTCAGTCAACTGAGATTTTCCCTGGTGTAGTCGCAAAACTGATAAAATTTTGTATATGTAAATATTCTAGTTCTGTGTTGTGCTTGGTTCGGAATACAGCAACACAGTCAAGACTGATTCAACACAGAGATCAGAGCTCTTTCTTCCTTTGTTTCTATAGTCATAGACCTTCCGAGCAATCCAGGCAGTGAGGTCCCCGCTAGGAGCTGGAGTCATGCCTTGGTGGCTCTTCACTCTTGGGACACCCTTGGAAACATCCAGCAGGTGTTTGAGACAGGCAGCACCACTTCTCTCCAGTTTCTTCATTGGGTGTCTTGGTGAGGCACGTGGAGTGACAACAAAGCACTGGAACTTAATTGTCACCCAGACTGGTCAAGCTGCTCAGCTCCAGAACCTGTCTCTCTGTCTCACTTTGTGTTCCCATCTCCTTCCAAGGGCTGGAGCTTCATTTAAATGAGAGGGAGGGAGAGCAGTCTGAGGGGCTAGACGTGTGTCCCCTCCATTGACAAACAAGATTCCCCTAGTCAAACAAAGCTCTTTTATGGTCAGTGGACATCCACCTGAAATGAAATTACCCTCTGGACAAACTAGTTTTATAAGGTTGGACAAGCCATTTTCACAAGGCCGAAACTCTGACCTCTCCAGGTACTCATAAAATCAGTATCCGAACTGGAGTCAGTGGGTAAGTGTGCCACAAAGGATTCTTCTGTCTTTGTAGTCATAGGTGGATCATAGCACGTATTTGTTATACGGTAGTTTATTTGGCAAGATCTTTCCTGCAAGGCTTCTGATGACAGGTACCTTGCAAATGGTTTCAGGAGCCTTTGTAGATCAGTCACGCAGGATCTGGAGTGACACAGACAACTCAATTTGCAAAAGTCTCACAGGATTTGTGGATCATTGCCTTAATAATAAAAGAGAGCGCAGAGCAGGTCTCAAAAGGCAGTCAGGGCAATTTTACCCAAGTTAATTAAACTCATTATTTGGAGGCTGTATCCCACCCACAGGACAGTTATACTCAGGCTTCCCATTTGCTTTTGAGCAGACAAAAAGCAACTGTTAGGTTCACTTCTGTATTTTGCTCTTCACTGAACAACTCTGCAGCTTATATGGAGTAGAGCTCCCCTTCCATCCACTGAATTTGCTGTCTGATACCAACTCATACACATGTTCTCCAAGACAAACACTTGATGTGATCACCTAGGTGGCTTTTACGCATATAGTTCATTACTGGTCCTTGATTGGAACCAGAAATAATGACAGTCAAGTACTTTGAGCAATAATGAGTTGGGGAATTAAGGTTTGTGGGAATTAGTTGTTAAGGGATATTGAAACAGTTGGGGAGTCCTTACTGGAGTACAGAAACAGGATCACTGTTGTGTTGGAAAGGGCTGCTGTCCTGGGACTGTCTCCTTCTCCATTGTATTGACCGGCCAGCGTTGCCTTCTGACACCGCAGGAGGCAAAATAAAGAAAACAGCATCCATGTCTCCCCTGGGAACTTGAAAGTTTTTCCACTCACTCTGAAAATGGAGATTTTAGTGAATGACTAATTTTGTAAGAGAGAACAGAAAGCCACCCAATCGTTCATTCCCGTTGAAAGAAAATCACTCTCACACTGGCAGAGCCTGACCAGTGCAGCTTCCTGCTCCTCTAGCATCAGTGTTGTACCTGTCTTGTAGGTGCAGCTTTGCCAAGCTCCTGCCCCTTGCCGTCACAGCACCCACACTGGTACTCTTGGATGGCACAGATGATGAGAGAATGAAGTCCACAGGGAAAATTATTGTCTACAAATATGCACAATCCAACTGCCAAGTATGAGCCCCCTATGGCAAAAGTGCCGTTGTCCAAAGGAGAACGTGTTACTTGAGGCCTGCAGAGACAAACCCCAACACAAGCCCAGCAGCTGCTCCGTCCTAAACTGTTGGCATTGAACAACTGAGGCTATCTTTGAGCTCCACAAAAATTTGTTTGATATCGGGTTCAGCCTCTGGGTCTCCTTAGGAACAGTTCATAGGTTTGAAGGGTTTTAAACCGTATTTTTCTGGCTGTAATAGGGGCACAGAATTTGGATCTGATACTTTCACTTCGGGTGGGTGCACCATCCGGCCTCCTGACACTGAGCTTCCAAAAATAGCTGTCAAATGTAGTTTGAAGTGTTAATAACGGCTGGTGAAAAGGGGTCTGCTGTGGCGGTAGGACAACAGTGAAACATCTTGAAAGACTGAAGAAAGTTTTACATAATTTAGATTTTTGTATTACCACAAAATAACATTTTTCTCAAAAGCCTTTGTTGCCAGGAGGATTTGGACCTGCCTTTTCGGTAAACCCTGTTTGTAACTATGTTGTCAACGGTCTGTGAAAGAAGATTTAAGGAAAAGGCTGCGCGTATTCTTGGTGGTTGCTGTAATGCAACTTACAGAGCAGGTCAAAGCAGGCTCATGCTTTATTGACTCTCAGCAGCATGTTTTCCAATGGAACTGATCATAGGGACTGTGAAGCTGCTACACCATACCCAGTTAACACGTTGGTTGATCATTACAAGATAGAAGCAGCAGAAAAAGGGGATACTGAAGCTGAGAGAGCGATTTTTAAGCCTGTGTTCAGACTAGGTGGCAGCGTCATGTCTGTACCAACAGGCTGGGAGGGCTGAAGCGTGCGAGGGAAACTGAGGGATGCGCTTGGCTGCTGCCAGACTCCACTGCTGCAAGTGTTTAAGTCACGTGAGTGGGAATCAGGTGCATGAAACATCTCCAGGAATCACGGCTCCTGCATGACCAGTTTCCCTCTTCTACACCAGTCAGTATTTCTTGTATATTGGTGCTTTTTCATTTTTATTTTTTTGAATCTTCATTTTTGCCCTCATTAACTTCCACTTCTTAGCAAAAAGCTAGGTTTGGGGAAAAATCAGCAGGATTTTTTTTTATGCTGAAAACATCAGTGCAGAGTGTTTGACTATTCCAGAATGTCTTAAAGAAAAGAAAAAAGAAACAGAAAAAAAGGAAGTTACAGAAGCCAGCCCTTGGCATGTAGGTTTCAGCTTTGACAAATCGACATCTTCTGCCTAAGAAAAGATGTGCTAGAAACCTCTTGGCCAGCTTTATTGTGCGCTACATGGGCCATAGCTCAGTGCTGGTCCCCAGCAGGCAGTAGCCTGCAAAGGCTTGGTCTGTACTTAGGTCACACCCGAATGGCTGTTAACAGTTCAAATGGTCCTCATTTCCATGAGAAAGAAATTGAGACAAAAAGAAGAACCAGAAGTTTCTTTTATAACAGGTTTTGTCAAATATGCACTCTTTGGCACTCTGAAAATGAACAAAAACCGTCAGAAAAAATGCAAATAGAAATAAATGCACATCTTAGTAGCTTATCCCCCCCACCTTAATTTTTCTCTTAGAAGAAAAATTTTAATATTTTTTGTATTCTCATTGGTAAGGTTGGGAGAAACGCAAGTTCTGTCAAATCACAAGCTGTGGGATACTCTGCAGGTCATTAAATCAGTAAACAGATTTCCTTTTCAAGAGTTTTCAAGTGCTATATATTCCTTTTCCCCTGAGCAAACAAACTTTCTTCTTTTTTTTCAAGACGTGAGAAGGAGTTACGTTTGAGTATTTGGCTGATGGAAAGTAGCTCA